TTTGAGCCATACAGACCTGGGGATGAATCCCAGATCTAACTTACCAGCAAGGTGACTGTGGGCAATTTATTTATCCTCTTTGATCATCAGCTTTCTTTTCTGTACAGTGGAATAATACCACTTTCCAGGATTATTAGGATAACGTGAAAGAATTTATGTGAATTTACATGTGGTAGCTAACACACAAGCCTTTAGAACATGTTAGCTCACATAATGACAATGATGAAGAAATGATTTGGGCATCGGTTTTGGAGTAAGATTACCTTTACACTCTTCTGAAGCCCAATCTCTATAATACATGGTATGGCTTCATGGCATAAGGGAAGGAAAAAAAGAAAAACCCTCACACTTCCTCACAACAACATTTGCTGCATTAGCACAGGCTTCACATTTCAGCTTCCCCATGGAGTTTGGTGAGATTTTCAGCTGCTCTGCCCTCCCCAGTCCCATTTTAGTTTTTTTAATTTTGTTGTTGTCTTTTTAAAAAAGGAAAGTCTAGTTGTTTGATTATCTGTTATTACTTCCAAATAAGAGCATGCTTTCATTTACTGAAATTAGGTCCGCATTCCCTGCGCTGGCACTCTCTGGGCTGTCTTCTCCAGAGGGCTGGGGCCTGCTAGATGGTGCACAGTTGGAAATTGGTGGCACTGAGTTGCTACCAAGGCTGGCAGACCTTTAAGATAGCATCTGGTGACCTTTAGCTGAGCCCCCTGGGTCCTCCGCTTGAGATTTGATGTTCTCAGCAGGGGTATAATGCAAATCAAATGTGAGATCTGGTGAGCTGGAGTTACTTGGAAGGTGGGGCCAACGGGGGCTCTCTACAGAGCTTTGAGCAGCCAATGCTACTAGATGCCCTTGCAATAATGTTTCTTTCCAACCCTGAGACTCTGAGCTCTAGTAGAGGGTGGCATTAAAGGACTGGTTTGCAGGAAAAGCCCAGTGTGAGACAGAGAACAGTTGGAAAGTTTGCTCCTTTTTTTATCATCCAGCAATACAGTAATCCTTTGGAATTGTTATAGTTCCCAAATGACACTGAACTTCACAGCATCCCTGGGAGCAGCAGCTCAGGTCAGAAGTATTTATAAGGAGGCTAGCTGTGTCTTGCTTCCAAGATAGTATTGATATGTCTTTCCTTCTTTTGAAATGGCAAATTTCTATTTCTGGGACTGCAGGTAGTATAGGCACACAAGCCTAGAAGAAAGATCTGTGAGTTTGTGAACAGCATAACAACCAATGTGTGTTGACAAATTGTTTGTGCTAACAACAGACACATGCTGTTTCTCAGCTGGGGAGTCATTTTTATGATAATTTTAAAGTGCTATGTATTAAAAAAAAACCCAGCTTTTACTTGGAACAGATTTAACAGGTTATTTTTGGTTTTACATCTACTATGGCTGTTTCAACAGCAAGCAGATTTATTCCACATTTCTCAGGCAATTCTGTCCTGAGACTGCCCACAGGAGGATTTTAAAGGTGATCAAAGCAGAGATGATTGCACTTGTCTTCATCCACAGAGCTAACTCTGCCCCAAGCCCTGAAACCTGCACTTTGTGCTTTGGCTGCCCCTCCTCTACTTTCTGCTTCTCACATAATCCCAAACTTCCATGGATCCTCCTGACTCTACTGACAGGAGGAACTTAGGTGCCATCAGGTAGATTTAGGATTAAATTATAGCTCCACTCCTGAAAAGCCATGTAGACTTGGACAAATCACATAAACTCTCTGAGCCTTAATTCCCCCCCTTAAATTGAGAATAAGGTAAGCACGCACCTATAGTCATGGTTGATGTGACGTTGAAATAAACCAGCACATGTATATGGCTATAATGTGACTGTCATATAGTTAAATGCTCAGCAATACCATTATTTTTTGCAACCATTACAGACCATAGTTATTTGTCTTCCTTAGGAACTTCAGAGTACTGATTCTTTGTAACATTCACTTGACATTTATTTGTATGCTAATTAGGTCTGTTTCTTATTATTTATGTAAATTCTAATTTTTTTATCATGTTATAGAAATACACACACACGCATACACATACATAAAAGTGCACATGTCATAAGTAGACTCTAATTTTTTTTATTAACATATGGATATACAATCTTAAGAAGGTTTCACATGAAAGATATTGTGGTTACTACGTTCACCCATATTATCAAGTTGCCCCAATACCCCACTGTCCATCAGTGTAGTAAGATGCCACAGTCACTACTTGTCTTCTCTGTGCTACACTGTCTTCCCCGTGACCACCACCCCCCCCGCCACACCATGCGTACTAATGGTAATAACCCTCAATGCCCTTATCCCTCCCACCCCACCAGCCCTCCCCTACCCCTCCCCTTTGGTAACTGCTAGTCCCTTCCTGGAGTCTTCTGCACTCTCACTAAATTTTTACCAGCAAGATATACCCATACAACAGACACCCAGATCAAACAAACAGAGTGGTACCAGTATCCCAGATGCCCCCTGGCATTCCCTTCTGGGCTGTACACCTCCTGGAAAAGGTACCCACTATCTAGAAGCTATCTCTCCAACTTCTAGAAGCAAGTTTATACTAGTTGTTAACTTAATTATCTGTGTGACTTCTGGCCAACCAAATGAAATTATATTTCTTGACCATATGTTTTGTTTTCTGTTATTGTAAGAATGACCTGTTAAATATATACTCTCCTAGTATTCGCACTTTGCTGTACAGTCACTCCACTGTGCTGTCTAGCAAAGCCCCAGCCGATGAGCCTACTGTCTGCCTTCTGTGCATCTCCATAAGGACCCCTGGGCAGTCCTAGGGAAGAGCATGTGCCCTTTCAGACTGACACCACAAACTGGTGGTCTCCAGCCTTCACTGGCCCCTCAGGTGCGCCCAGCCAATCTGTCTTCTTTTTCTGATCTACTCTTTTCCACTGTTCATAGTAACAATTTCAAGTCATCTGCCCTTAATTCAGACTTCCTACCCCAGCACTTCCCCCTTGACAGCCAAAGGTAACCGTGTCATGTACATCACAGAAAATTCAAGCAATTTGATCAATATGCTGTCACTAAAGGTATAAATAAGTTTGCCTACATCCTCACCTGTCTCCCTACTCCCCTACCCTGAGGTGTCACCTCTACCTCTGTTCTCCCAGAGACACCATCTCACTTGTTAGGGCTCATCCTGTTTCATCAGTGATACCCCCTGCTTTTCTTTGGCTTGCTTGCCTCTTCACCATTGGCATGTAAATGTGTTAACGTCCCTACACTCCTTCAACAGGACAGTCACAAAGCCCTACCTGAAACCCACATTTACTCCACCCCTAACCCCATTATTCTTCCCTCTTGAAGCTAAACTTTGTGACAGAGTTTTTATATTCCTTGTCTTCAGTTTCTTGTCCCCTCCTTCCATCAACCCACAATCTAGCATCCATCTCCACTACCTCACGGAAGCTCCCCATTTCAAGATTCCTGGTGGGGTCCTTATGGCTTAATTCAGTGGACTCTTTTCAGAGCTTACCTTTCTCAGGAGCACCTGACTCTTGGCTATGCCCTCTCTCTGGAAACTTCCTCTTTACTTTCCACAGTCCTGGTCTCCCTCCTCCCTTGCAGAGAATTTCTTCTAATCTCCTTTTAGGGCTCTTCCTCCCTCTCTAAATGCAGATGTCCCTGGAGTTCTTTCCTAGGCTTTCTTTTCTTATGATGCCACACCAAGAGGATCGCTATACAAAACATACATGCATCTCCATCATGGCCTGTGGTTTGCACTTATTCAAATCAACAATTACTAGAGCCATTGCTTTATGCTCAGATAACATGACATCTTTAAAATGGATCCTTCTCACAGAACCATGTATATACTCTAGAATTTATACAATTCCTTCTAGGCACAAGACATGTATTTTTACTGATTATAAAATAATATTTTCTCATGAAAAAAATTCAGAATAATAGTTTATAAGATACAGTATGATATAATATAATGTAATATCCTGAGTTCTACTACTCAGCCATACTAATTATTTGTCATATTCCCTTTTAGATATACTATGTACTGTCACACAAAAACACATATATTACGTATGTGCATTTTACATCATTGAGATAATTGTATTTTTCATTTACTTGTACAAATGGACATTTTGTTGTGTCATTAAAATTACTCCTATTTTAATGGCTGTATATATTCTATCATATGAACATAAAATGAATTATTCAACATATCCACCCACTAATAAATATTTAGAGTTTTTAACTTTTCTTCTTCTACATTTTTCCATGATACATATTCTGAAAAACTGACTTATTAGTTTTAAAGAGTTTCAACTTCCTGACTCTTAATAGTTTTTGTCAGGTTACCCACTATATTAATTATAAATATCTTTGTGGTCATTAGCATTTGAGTTCTTATTTTCAAAGAAGTTTTCTATATTTAAAGTGGTGCTTTGTAATTGTTTTGACTTGTAAGTCTTTAGTTACTAAACAAGGTTGAATAATTTCAATTTTGTTCTATTATTTGCATTTCTTCAAATCATGCCTACATTTTTTTTTCCTTTCCTCTAATTAATATTCAACTCAAATGGAGGACTGCTGAGAGACAAAGATGCCTCCAGGGGGGACAACTGAGGAGAGACACAGAGCAGAACTGGAGCTGGCAAACTGCCTTGACTGTCTTCTTTCTCTCATTGCAAACAATGAAAATACCTGTTAGACTTGTAAGATGTGTGATGACCTTTAGGGTTCATTTCTGACCCTGCCATTACTGACTGTAAGGGTTTTGGAGCAGACAGATAGGTTATCTTTATGAGAATAAAGGAGAGGATAAGGAAAAATCAAGCCTAAGAAGCTGATAACATGGCCCCTCTATGGTAAATGATCCATAGACAAATAACCAACATTTACTTCTTCATTCCACCCTGCTGAGTTACTGCTGTTCGCAGCACCAGACTAACACCTTTTGTTTCTTATGCCAGCCTAGTGCATGCCACGCTGCCCTGTAAGTAACAAAGTGCAAAACTGTTTCTTTCCAGTAAGGAGAATGAGAACGTGGAGGCAGAAATTCAAGCAGTGCCCCAGAAATCGGTGACTGGTAATGCGAAGCAGATGAACACAGACCCCTCAGCTCCTATTAATCCCACTGAACATCAAGTCAATCATGACCCTGATGTTGCAGAAGGCAAGCACCCAGAAAACAACCAGAAACCGCAACACAACCAGAAGGTTCTAACAGAAGCACGCAGCAGCAGATTCTGGGATAACAAAGTGAGTGGCACATACCAGAGCTTTTCTTGGTAAGACTAGGAACATTCAGTTAGGTTGGAAACATTGAGTCACAACAACACACGCTTGTACTAATGGTGATAAATATATCTTGCATAAAATGGAAATAGAATCAATTTTTTTCAATCTGAAAATGAACTGCGAGGTCATTTTGTATATTACATCTTTGTTGACCACCAGTTGAATGGGTCAGCCTACTCTGTGTCTGTGGCTCACTCAGTGATAACCATGCGGTGACAAGTGTTACTGTACATGCAAATTCGGGGTGTGTTGGAGGGGGAGGACTTGTCTACTTTAACATTACAGGAAAAGATCAATTATTTTCAAAGTCCAATGCAACTGTGCCTAGATATCAAGAAATTATTAGCCCAAAACTATCTTGATAGAAATATCTATCACTGCACAATGTTAAGAACTGACCAAACAATCCACAACAACCTAACTTGATAATGATGAATCTAAATGATTAGTAATTTGTAATGAAAAAGCAAGAATAGCAGCAATTTAAAACTGGATCCAAATCAAGACAAAACTAATGATTCATTGATAACAAAATACCATTTTCTAAAAATTGCTGAAATTGCAATTCAACAGATGAGTAGGAGTTTTGCTATGCTGCCAAGGATTAAGTGACACCCAGATATTTTAGTGGAATACTGAATTAGAGTCTGCAGTCAACTCTCACATAACTATTTTTAGTTTATAATTTTAATAGCCCTTACTAAATCACTCAAATTCTAGCTAGTCTTCAGTTATGTGGGAAAATAAAAGCCTGTGGATTTGTGATCTTTTGCTCATAAGAACTCTGCAAAGATTATAATTTGGAGTGGTTAATAGTCCACCAATGGACCTCAGACCATACTCAGAAAGGTCTGGTTGACCATGGGTCCAGGAATAAAAGTGCCTTGCCCAAAATGTCAGTGGCACAGTCTACCCTGGGATTTGGGCCTCCTAATCCCCAGTCACTGTGTTCTTTTAGCTGTCCCATAATGAATCATTGAATTTCAGGCTTAGCTGGAGCAAGACTTAATGCCTCTGCAGAGGTGAAATAATCTATTATAAACTGTAAAGACCTCCGAGTTATTACCTAACTTTGACTCTGGCATTAATGTATTTGTTGTTGTTCCCCAAGGATGCCCTTGGTAATAATATTATAGTTATAAAACACTTTATTATTTACTAATTGCTTTCACATAAATTTTACAACTTGCTCATTGGAATTAACCCTGTGAGGTAGGTGCCACTGTCATTTCTGTTATTACTGTATGGATGATAGAACTAAGAGTTGGAAGAGCTAAAGTGATTCATAAGTGATCAGATAAAATGTTTACCTAGGTCTTTTTCCCTTTTCTTTTTTTTTTCTCTTTTCTTGTCTACTCCTCTCTTCTATTTTCTTTTCTTCTTAAAAAATGTATTGAACTTTCTAATTATAAAATAAAAGGACAATATAAATAAGAAGACAATAAAACAAAACCAAAGAAAAATGGTGTATTTCTTTCTCTTCTTTCTTCCCTGTGTAGATATAGAATGAGAATCATTATGTGTATATTCTTTGTCATCTTGTTTGAATATCACTTCATATGAAGAATTTTCCTCCTGGCTTCAAGAAATTCATCCTAAGCATCACCTTTAATGGCTCTATGATAGGAGTCATAGTTAGAACTAACACTTGATACCATTTACTAAGTGCCAGGCACTATTTTAAACTTTTTATACATGTTAACTTACTACCAAGCTTACTACTCCCAAGCACCCAGTGAGGTAGGAGTTCTTATGACCTTCGGTTCACAGATGAAGGACCTGAGAAAGAGAAAGGTCAAGTGACTTGCCCGGATCATAAAACTGAGAAGTGGCAGAGCCACAGAGGAAGCCCAAGTACTAAGCCCCTAGTCACCAAACTGTATTCATTCCTTTATATAGATACACCACGGCTCATTTAATTGATCCCTTATTGATGGGCATTTAAGGTACTTCCAGTTTGTTTTTTCTTGTAAGTGGAAATTTGTTGTTTGTTTCCTGGCATAGATTCTGCATTAGCCATTATAATGGCGGAATGTTCTTTGGGTAAGCTCTTTTTGGACCTCTGTGAACTGGATTCTTTGTTAGCTCTGTAATGCCAGAGGAAGATGATTTTCCCTTTCCCTCCCAGAACTCAGCGTATCTTGTGGGAGGCTCAGCAGGGCTCACACCGAGCCACCAGATACAGCAAGGCCTTGTAGGAGGTGTGGGGCCTGACTAATTGGTTCTGTCTGCCGAGTATATGGTGCAGGCCTGCCAGATGGCAGCCCCAGTTGCCTGGTACAGAGACCCTCATTACCACCTTGAGTAAGTGGTAGATGGAATCCTGCCGCAATGAAAGGAGCAAACCAATCAGAGCTCCTTCTAGATTCTTATCCCCTCACACATAGATGAAAATAAAGCCTTCCTGCCTGGGACGTAACAGGCAATCTGGACCAGCTGAATTTGCTCCAAAAGAGAAGTTGCTGATAAAGACTGAGTTAATGTGGGTGAGGACAGGCAAGTGTGAAACTCTTCGAAATTACAGATCCAGTTTAAAGAGTATCATTAGTCGGAGATAAGTAAAATTGAAAAATGTTGGGAGAATCCGCCATTCCTTGTGTGTGAGAACAGTGAGATAACTTAGAAATCAACAAGTACAACCCTTCATTTCACAGATGAAGGATGAGAAGCCCAGAAAGCTTAAATGATTAGTTCAAGGTCTCACAAGGAAAAACCTGGCTCTTCTCACTGCCAGCTAGGATCATTAGTCTCCAAATTCTGTTCCTTATGTGTCTTTGAAAATATATATATACATATATTGTCTATATTGTTTCTCAGAAGCATAGGCCCTGCCTTCTCTCAGAAAATAAAAAAGGATGTGTGACTAGCAACAAACTGAGTAGTGTAGCTTCAAAAATAAAATTAGAGTGTGCCTTTTGCATCTGGCAGCATAAAAATGAAAGTGTTAGTGCTTTAATTTTAATAATTATCACAGTTGATTGACAGTGTGTTCTTTTCAATACCCTTTTGCATGATTTATCTTGTTTGTTCTCTACAATAGCCATTTGAGGTAGGTAGATGCACATGACATTATCCACACTTTGTAGATGAATAAACAGATGTCAAGGGCATTTTTACATTGCTGTTGTCTTGCCAATGGGTTTCAGCCCCAGGCAAGTTCGCTATGGATTGAATGTGACCAAAGAAAATTGACAGTAGAATGCTCTTTAGGGAGAAAGGGCTATACCCAACTTTATTTCCAGGTGGCAGGTCGGTCACTAGAATCCCATTAACTCAGAGCAAGTCTGCATGCAGCAAGCCAGTCTCTGCCTCTGGGCCCCTCTGTCCACACAGCTGTCCTCCGGGCTTCTCTGCACAGTCATCCCGCACAGCCGTCCTCTGGACCTCTGTCCTCTGTGCTGCCACCACTCCAGCCTCTGCTCTGCTCTCCTGCAGCCTTGCAGCCCTGCCACAGTGTCGCGCCCAGAGCACTGGGCAGGGCTCTTTTTATAGAGTCAACAGCCATGTATTGCCCACAGGTGTGCAGTGAACTAGTCAACCAGGGCCAGCTGAGAATCCTGGCCACAGGAACTTGCATTTTATCCACAACTGTGCATTGGCGGCTTAGATTCAACATGTTCAAAGCCGAACACTGGATCCTGCTCTTCTTCCTGTGGCCTGTATCTCACAGAGTGGTGCCACAACTCTCCCAGCTCCACCAGCAGGAAACATGGGCATGCTTTCCTCCTCTCTCTCCCTGACTCTGATATCCAACTAATCACGGAGCCCTTTAAATACTGCCTCCTTTATGTCTCTCAAAAATGCCCTCTTATCTCTGTTTCCTCTGTGGTTATCTTACTCAGACCATCATTACATCTCAGTGGGAAAATTCAACTTTTCTATGCTTTCTTCTCTGTCAGCTATTGTAATACTATTGCTGTGTGACAAATCACCCCAAGACTCAGAGGTTTATGACAATAATCATATATGCTCACATCTGCAGGCATAAACTAAGACAGCTTTTGCTTATTTCAGTTGGACTTTCCTGGACGTGGCTCCAGACTCCAGAGATTTGTTCAGGTCTGCTTTGTGTTTTCATTATTGTTCTGAATCCAGGGGACTCCTCAAGGCAAGTTCTCCTCATGGTAATGGAAACATTTCAAAAGAAAAACCCAACTGCATTCCTCACCACAAGCACATTTTAAGTTTTTGCTTGTGTCATAATCACTAACATCCCCCTGGCCAAAGTAAGCTACATGGCAAAGCACAGCCCCAGTGGGACAGGGATATAGATGCTACCTTTTTAAGAAGGACTTCAAAACTACTGATCAAATGGAACCCCTGCTGAAAACATTTAAAACCATTGTTTAATCCCCATTTCCCTGGCAGAATTCAAGCTCCTGAACTTACTATTCCAACTCAACTCTGTCTGCTATCTACTTCCCTCCCACCGCCACTTTTTACTAAAGTGAACTTCTATTTCACAAAAAGAGTTTTACTCCTTTTTTTCTTCTATCCTTTGCCCATGCTATTCCTTTTGTGTGAAATTCTCTTCCCTCCATCTTTATTTAACTCCTAATTACCCTAGGGTCTTGACCTAGATGTCAGTTCTACCAAGATGCATTATTGTCTGATCACCAAGACTGAGGCAAGTGCCTCTCTTAATGTACTTCTAAATTAACATGTGCACACCTCTATAGCAGATATTGTTAGACTGATTAAAATAGACTGTATCCTTATCCATCTCCTCCCATGAGTCTGTAAGCTCCCTGAAAATAAGAATTTGCCTGCTTATTTTTGTTTCCAAATTCCCCTCTCTCTGTATAAGGAACCCAAAGCCAACATCTTATTTAATGGCTTCCACATTAGAATCTAGAGGCTTCCACATTAGAGTCTGGACGAAGTCAAAGCGCCTATTATCTCCACTGGCTTTTAATATTATATTGGAAGTATCAGTCAATGTAATTAAACAAGAGAAAGCAATTACAGGCATGATAATTAGGAAGAGGAAAAACTGTTTTCAGATGTGAAGATTATACATATAAAATCTCAAATCTGCTAATGAAGGAACTACTAAGTCAATAACAGAATTTGGTGAAACAGAGCTATATAATCAATATACACAAATCAAAGGCCTGTGTATATATAAACAAAAACTAGTTCAAAGATAAAATGGAAGGCAATATTTACAATAGCAAATAAATACATTACTAAGTTAAATAAACAAATAAAAGTATTCAATATAAAATTAATAAGAAATGTCTAAACCTTTATGAGAAAAAATATAAGACATTCCTGAAAGACACAAGAGTAGATTTGAACAGTACAAAGGTGTGCTTTGTTCTTGTATAGAAAAAGTTAACATCATCAATCTCTATCAAAATTCCAATGATGTTTTTTGCAAAAATATAAAAACCCATCCTAAAATTCATATGGAATCTCAAGGGACCCTGAATATCCAAAACAATCCTGAAAAAGAAGAACAAAGTTGGAGACTTGCACTTTCTGATTTCAAAACTAATTACAAAGCTACAATAATCAAAATAGTATGGTACTGACATAAAAACAGACATAAAGACCAATGGAATAGAATATTCCAAATAGTCCAAAAATAAACCCTCATATATATGGTCAAATGATTTTCTGACAAGTATGCCAAGAAGATTCAATGGGGGAAAGATGTTCTTTTCAACAAATCTTACTGGGAAAACTAGATATTCACATGTAAAAGCAGGCAACTGGACACTTACCTATCACCATATATAAAAATTAACTTAAAATGGATCTATGTCTTAAACATAAGATCTTAAACTATAGATCTCTCAGAATGAATGAAAAATGGGACATCTTCACATTGAATCTGGCAATGATTTCTTGGATATGACCCCAATGTTATAGGATTGTATCATTGACCCTTATTCCATCATTTATTCTACTACAATCTTTAATAGCATTGCACTTGGGATGTAATATTCTGTGCTTTTTAATCTCCTATGTTTCATTCTTAACAAAGCTCATGATTGCCTTTTCTTCCCTTCCTGAATCTGCTAGTTAAAACAGCCTGAGGATACCTTATTGCTAATAAGAACCCTACATTTGCCTATAAACACCTTATATTCTACCTATTTTCCCTTTGTCACAGACACCTTCTTGCACAAATGAAACAGTATCTAATTGTTAATATATTTGTCAAATGTGTTCATTACATAATGCTGAAATTGATGTTGAGGCAAGATCTTGTCTTTGGAGACTCAATGACTACATAGGCTGAAGTCATTTGGAACTGTGAATGTGTTTTAAAATACTGGTCAGGTTGAATCACTGTGCTGTACATCTGAAACGAATATAATATAGGTCAACTGTAATTCAATTTAAAAAAAGAAATTGGTTGGCTTACTCATATTCTCCCTTTTTTCCTATTTCTCTTCTTCTCTCCACTTCTGATCCTTACTACTATTTGTCCTTGTTTCTTTAAGCTTCCCGACCAGGCAAATGTCCATTGCAGCTCTGTACCAACTGGAGACCAGTCCCTGTCCTATATCCATGGCCTTCCCAGGAGAAAACTTAGAGACCGGTCCTTGGAACAGATGACAAGGGGTGACTCTGACCAACCTGAGGTGTGTTTACTAAGAGTTGTTGAATTGTTTTCTGTTGTGGATAAAGGAGTACTAATTTACTGCATAATTTAATGTGGAGCAGATAAACTAAGAGTTGTTGAATTGTTTTCCCCCTGTTGTGGATAAAGGGGTACTAATTTACTGCATAATTTAATGTGGAGCAGATTATAACACAGTCTGAGGATGAACTGGTGGACACCAGATTCCATATGTCCAATCAGCATTCCAGGAAGCTCCCAGGGGAGTTCACCAGCAAACCTTAAATGTCTCAAATGAACTTATCTTCCTTCCACCGTCCTTCCCCCAGATCCAATGGATCTCTGAAACTGCTTATTCTAAATTCTCATATAATCACAAAGGTTATTTTGTAAAAGACAGATGAATGACTACTTTGAGACCTCTAACAGAATAGGTACTCCAAAACGATTTGCTCCTTTTCTTTTCATGAAAGAAAAGGTCCTGAGGCACTGTAAATTAATGAAGATGCCCAGCTTAACTATTTACCTTCAGGTATTACCAACTTGCCCTGTTCTAAGCTAGGCCTGGAAGTATATGCTCTGATCCCAGCTCCACCAGGCTTCTGCTTCCTTCCGTTGGCTGTCGGCCATGTTAGTTGAGAGAGTATTAATCTTTTGTTGGTTGTGTTGTCATGTTAGGATATTGGCCCGAGACCAAGTGGAACAAGAGAAGACACTTTTCTTTTTGCCCTGATCAGAAAAGAACTCAAGTCACACCCTTTGAGTTCCAGCTTATTGGACAAGCTTCAGAAAGAGCTGAAGATCCTGGATCCTATCTCTTCAGGATTTCTCCTCCAATCTCAGCTGAGCCGCCTCTTCTTGAGGCATGAAGTCCCTCTACAGTCAACAACAGTCAAGATCCTTTGCCAAAGGTTTTCTATGAGGGGCTCACCTGAAACGGTATGGCCATCTTGTGTGATGTGCTGTTTGCTTCTTTTACTTGTACCCACCCCATAATAGAATTAAAAGGTTAATTCTATTCAGTAGTTTCTTTCTTGAAACTATTGATCTCTCAGATACAAAACTCATTTATATTCATATGTGGAAATTCCTAGTCAAAATAGACCAAAAAACAAAATAGATAAAGTTCTCTTAGCCCTGTATAATTTCACTTTAAAGGACTTTCCTGTCCCAACTTTCAATGTTTGTTCTTAACATTACTGGGATAGTTACAGATTTAAGATAAAGGGCGCACGTGAGTCCATTTAGAATGGACTCTGTAGGCTCGTAGGAAAAATGAAGAACTTGATTGAGATGCATCATGACAGTTCCCAGAGAATCAGAGATGGGAGGCATCTCACATCATTTTACTGATTAGGAAACTGAGACCCAGACAGGTTAAGGAACTTGTTTAGGATGCCCTGAGAATTTATGGCAGATCCAAGCAGAGAAAAAGGCTGCCCAGTGACAAGGCCAGGGTTCTCTCTCTGAGCACTGCACTTTGCAAGCTCACACGTGTGGGTGAATACAAAAGGAGGTCCCAGTATAACCAAATTCAGGGAGCTAGAGGAAAATATCTTTAAATAGAAGGAAGTAATAGCAATGCGCAGATCATTAGTAAACATATGTTGATAGAAAACCAGGCCAAAACCACAAGAATAGCCTGAGGATTTGGTAATATAATAACTGCATATTACCTGGTCTCATGCTTAGTGTTTAGTAGGTACTCAAATAAATGTTAGTTCTCTCTCTTGTCCATCTAAACTGACCAAATAGGATCAGCTATATATTTATGAGAAATATTTAGGAGGACTATGTCAACTTATTAGTACAACGTCTATGAATCTTCAGTTAAGTCAAATTCTCTGGCCTGAGGCCTAGTTTATATGAGGACCTTATCAAGCTTCCCTCCCCCACTGCCTTGGAGATGTGGGCCCCCCAGAGGCTATAGGATGTCATCCAGGCCAGCAAAGGAAATAAAGACATTCAGTCAGTCCTTTCCTATGTAAAAATAAACCTTGAGATTTTTCACTTAGCTTAATAATGCCTTGTCCTCAAATAATCTGAATACATCAGATGAACATATCAAATATGAGCATATATACTATATATGATATATATATAAGAGATATGTGTGAGAGACAGAGAAGCTAGGTTATGCTATAGTAACAATGAGCTCCCAAGTCTCAGTGACTTAAAACAGCAAAGCTTATTTTTTATTTACATCTCCATATTGATTGTGCTCTTCTCAGTACTGTCATTATCTTATGATCCAAAACCCAGGCTGAGGAAGCAGCCATTCTGGAATATATTTGGGCATTATGGCAAAGTGGGGAAAAAAGAGGGCACTGGAGGGTCTCAGGTCAGCTGTTTAATCCTCAACCCAGAAGTAGCACATGTGACCTCTGCTCACAGCTCTTTGGCCAGAACCGGTCTCCTGGCCCCTACCCAACCACAAGACAAGCAGGAAGTTGTACCAGAATATAATATGTTCAGAAGGGAAAACAATAGAAATACATGGTTTAAAAATGCTCTTATAATTATCATACTATACTTTTAAAGCTGTTTTAAAACTTGAGTGGTAAAAAATTTGCAAATACATTCTATCTCAGCAGGCCTTTCTCCCTTACATTTTAATTAAGTGAGGATGTTCTGTTGTATATTTAATTTCAGGTGAATTATGGAAAGCTACTTTGGTTTTTAAAAGTTGCAGCCTTGGATGAACCACAGCAAAGCAAAAGAGTTATGGACAACAACCTATGGAAAACTCAGGATGGTGGCAATCACAACCAAAGGTACTTTCTCCCCTTTGTGGGCATAGTGCCCCTGGACTTCTAGAGCTGGCAGGGACCTTGGAGGCCATTCACTCAAAAAGCTCACCCAGTGCAGAATCAATTTGCTCTTTACCAACACTTGGCTCATACTTAAGGTTATCTTTCTCTTATATGCAGGACAGCAAAAAAAAGTTCTTTGTAGCAATTGCCTGTGTTTCTTAACACCAAGTATATATCTTTTTTATGAGGTTGCAATGTGAAAATGGAAAAACTCATTATGAAATAAGGAATGACTATGTACTGCAACAGAGATGCAGTCTATAAGGTGTGATTCCAGAAATAAGTCAGTCAATTGAATTCCTGGATTACAGACACTAACAAAGAAAGGTTTAAGGTGCAGGAATCAATAATCCCTTCACTTAATCTCAAGGGAAAGAAATGAGTCAAAGTAAAAATAGGATGCAAGCAGCATCACTAGAGATAAGGCACCATAAAGCAAGGCAACCTCTATTTCTCTAAAAAAAAATGACAAGGTGCAGTGGTTTGCCCATTGCCAGAAGCCTGGGCTCAATTCCTGTTTCTGCCATGTTGTGGCTCTGTAACCCTGGGCTAGTCACTTACTCTCTGCTTCCATTCTCCACCTGCAAAATGAAAACTATAATAGACTTCCCTTCACTTTGTAGATTTATAAAAATAACAGAGTTCATATATACAAAATTCTTAAAACAGTGCCTGATACATAGTAAGTTCTATAACAGCATTTGTTATGATTTTTAAGCTGTCCTACCAGAGGACAGTCTTTTGGGTTACAAATAATGTGACATAGTGGTTAGAGCCATGGCATTGTAGTTTGTTTCTTTACTCTAGGAAAAAGGTAGGGTTTCCTATACAAATGTCCCTGGGCCAAGTGTTAGACTTGTTTCCTTTCTACAGTGTGCCTTTTGACTATGATACTTCATTCCACAAACATTCATGGAATACTGGCTGCTTGCTAAACACACTCCAGTGGACACAGTGAATTCAGAGGTGGGCAAGGCTCAGTCTCTCCCTCAAGGACTCATGGTCCAAAGAAAGTATCCTGCCATTTGGGTGCACCAGTCAAACATCGCTCTGGGAGCAACTGTCCTACTGAGAGCCATAGAGCACTAGAAATTTTTAATAATTAGCAACCACACTTCATATAATACAGATTGTGAGGTGGGGGCCCTGAGGTAACAGATTGCATTAGACTCTCTTTGGCAGATAGGAGTCTTATGAGTCCTGAACAGGAAGCCTTTCCTGAGCACTAGACCAGATTATATCTTTTTGCCCTATAGTCCCAAAGCCCTTTCCCTTCACAGTAGTCATTGTACTTGGAATTACTTATTTGACATTTGAGGTTAGGAATAGTATCTGTCCTGGCCAACTAGTTGTCTAGCAGGGTTCTAGTATAGTTCTTGGCACGTGGGAGATCCTCAGAAAATGTTAGTTGAGTGTAGTTGGTACCATCGATTATCCATTTACAGGAACATCTAAATATCTACTCTGTGAAAAAGGTGTATAAAGAACTAACATTTTGAACTCATCAGAGAAGGCACTGCTTTATACAAACCAGACAATGTGTTTGTGGAAAAGCAGGACTGATGGCCTATAGTGAATCCAGGCTCTTTGTTAATTAATGGACAGCTCAGGAAAACGCCCTTCCACTTTCTGTTAGGTAGAGCCTTTCATGAGGCAGCTTGTGATGCTGAAAAAGCCTCCAGTATCACCAATGGCAGCAGGAGTGACAACAGCTCTTATTACATAGGCTGGACCAGATGAAATAGACTGCAGCAGATTTTCTAAGAAGCCCCACCAGCTGCAGCAAATGGGTTTCAGAGTACGCAGCGGACTAAGCAGGGGGACAACGCCTCATGCATTCCTACCCCCAGGAACTGCTGTTACAAGAAAAGGAAAGAGGAATGAAAACTTCTGATTCAAATCTGGGAGAGAGAGATCTGATTGGCAAGGCCTGGGTCATGTATTCTCACAGCAAAGAGAGGCTGTAAAGCAAAGAGCTGGTATTTTCTTCTGCTGGAGTGAGAGACAGACTCTTGAATTGGAGCACTCCTAGAACAAGGGAAGGAGGGTTCGAAAGCAAGGTGACCGACTCAAAGACAAATAGCTCCTCCTTTCCTGCACCAAGCTTTGGGAAAATATTAGCAGATCAAGTAGTTCAGAATGGTATCATTTTGGGCCAAAGCTTAAGTAAGTCACACAGCATAAAGAAGATACATTATGAACTTTAGGAAAATTAAATACATATAAAAAAATAATTCCAAGATTCCAAGAATTGTACAAGATCCCCAGGAAATAGTAAGGAAAAAAAAATCAACCTGACCCACATCTTAGGGGACAGCAACTAGGTGTCAGACTTGAACAATGAAATAAATATGTGATTGCAACTGGATGGGAACTTATTAAGGAAAAGAACAAGGAACTATGAAAGAGTTTATCAAACAGAGTGGGAGTGGAGGGTGCTGGAGCACCACGGGGGCCAACTGTGAACATTAGTTCCCAATGTCTCATTCAGTGACATCATATTGGTAGCCTGAAATCTGCCACAGTGGGAGTTATTTACACCATAAAATTAGTAATGGTACAAATTAGAGCTTTATCCTGGAGAGCTGGTTGTTAAAGATTTACCAGCACACCTGAAAGGAAACTGATTATCATGAGTAGAGGTTGTCATAGAATGTCCCTCTAGGAAAGTGGCACTTAAGGCAGTGGAAATTAGGAAAAGGTTCACTGTAGAGAAGTTTGTGCAGCTGTGTCTGGAAAGACATATACACTGGAATGTCAAATGAGTAAGCATCTCAAACTAGCTTCAGAAAGGAAGTGACTATAACACTTTATCACCCTGAAGTTTTTTATCTATTACTTAAAATAACAATAGTCGGTTAAATAAGGCATCTTAATAGTTATGTACACTTCCATGCCCAATGGCAAGTGAAGAATTACTCCAAAACTTTCTGGGTTTTCCAGATTCAAACAGCACAGTCAAGGATAATCCAGGCAGTTCACCCGGTTTGATTTCCTTCTATAATGTAGGTTTACTGATTACAGGGGTCTGCCAGGATCTGTTTTGCTTTGTGGCAATAAACAGTTTGGAAATTTGATTGGCCATCAGTAATTACCTGGACTCAAGAAAAGTAAGATAAAAAGCAGGTAAAGAAAACTACTGTGATCACTTTCAATTTTGTCTCTCAACCTGAAAAAAAGTTCTAGTGGGTTATGAATGTTGGTCTACTTTGTAGTCAAATTGCTTGGTGCCTCCTGGAGAAAAGATTGTAGTGCTCTCTAGAGTGGGACAGATTTGAGTTAGCCTATGAAATCTCCACACTCAGTCCCATGACCTGGTGACCACGATCTCGAAGCCCTCACCGGGTGGGTTCTCTGGTTGCACAGCGTGCATCAGGAGTATGAAAACACTCAGCACTTTTGGGTGCATCATCTCTTCACAGCCTTTCACCTGCCTCTCCAATCAACACTGCCTCGCGGGACTCCAGCTCACAGTCAGAAGAGAGCAAGAGCCTGGTGGAGAGCTTGAAGATGGCACTAAGGGAAACCAATGGCAAACTCAACATAGAGACCCTCAGCCTGAGTCTTCGAAAAGAAGATCACTCATTTTCTGGCTGCCTGCCACCGCCCAAGGTAACCAAAATTAGGTTTCAGATTTATTCATCTCTAAAAGGCTACCCTTGGGACATGGGGTCAATAGTGAGAAGGCATGGCTACCCTCTGTTCTGCATGTAGATTACATTACATAATATGCCTGAGAGGAGAAAATCAAAAGAGAAAAGGAATTGTGAAATGTGCAGAAATGGTCCAGGAAGTACTTACACTGGGCTGTGTTTTATGTTATCAATAAAGAATATAACAATATCCAAAGAACATTTCATAATGGAAAACAAATATTTTTCCAAGGCCAAATGTTCATTTCTCACACCCTATAGCAGCTTCCAGTGAAGTCAGCATGTGGTAAGCCCATTCCTTAGGAACACCAAATTTAGGGAGTGATGTGATTTATTGCTGATAGAGATTAACATGATTTTTGGGAGCATTAATTAACAGAGCAGATGTGTTTAATAGAAGATGATCCAGAACCGTATTAACTCATGTGATGTCTTAAACCAAACAAACCTCAGTCATGAGACTACCTTGGATACAGGCAAAATAATAATGAGCACTATTACTACAATTCCATTAACAACTCACCACCACTGAGCTTTATCGAGTTCTTACTAAGTGCCAAGCACTACACTGAATGCTTTACTTATATCATTTAACACTTACAAATAACTACAAAGTCAAAGGTAGATGTTACAATACCCATTTAATAAATGTAAAAAACTGAATCTCAGAGAGGCCAGCTGAATCACTCAGGCAAGTTGCAGATCCAGGATTCAGTATAGAAGAGTACTGAAATTAAGAGCCAGAATTGGAACTCCATTAGGCAGAAGACATCAGAAAGATTCTACTGAATCCAGTAAGAGTTAGAATTTGAGAGGAGTAGGAGAAATTAGAAAATACAGACAAAAAAAATGTCCTATAGGAAATATTGGAACATGCCTTTCATCTAGGTAAATGGGTTTGAATGAAGAATCTAAGAATTTAAAAGAACAAGGAAACAAGGACAGGATATGCTGAAAGTGGGTTCTTTTTCTGGGATAGAAGCAGCTTTCCCTATGCTCTCATTTATACAATCAAGCAACAATGCAAAAGCTGAGCTTATGATAGTGTGCATGTGTGTGTAAATATTACATATGCATGCAAAGAGAAAACACTACTGGAGATTCCACACATCATAAATGGCCCTTATTATGTCCACAAGGTTGGTAGAAATAGACTAAGAAGCAGCAATTCTTTGTTAGATTGGGAACTACATTACACCATCAGTGAAATCTTAATGTTCTCAGGTGATACATAGAGAATGGAACATAAATTTCTGGAAAATCAAAATAAATTTGCTTAAACTCTTTGAGTCTCAGACTTTTCATCTAGAAAAACTAGGTTCAAAATACCTACCTCTTGTGTCTAGTGTGAGGATTAAACAAGATAAGTATGTAAAGGCACTTAGCACACTATCTGATATACTCAGTAGATATTAATTTCCTTCTCCCTAATAAAAACAAAATCAGTGTTGGGTAAAATTATCATTTCAAAACAGCCTAAGGAAAGAGGATCTTTCCTGGGGTCAAATGATGGCCACATTGAAGCCTCAAATGTTCTTCTCCCGACAGCTGCCCTGAAAGCTTAAATTTGTGGTTCACATCCAAATAAATGGGGCACATTTTCCTTAAATCTGGTCTGCCTCTCATGAGCCATCTGGCATCTCTTAAGACATCTGGAACTCACTCAGAGTATATTACAGTTCTGGGAGGCATATAAAATAGAATTCTGTTTCCCTAGGACGTGAAACAAATTGAGGCCCAAGGGATATGGGATACAGGAAGCAGTAGCAGTTATCCCCCAACATTCTTACTCTGGGATACAGGACCTCAGAGTGGACTGGAAAAGGCCATCCTTACTGGAAGGGTTTTCTTTTTGACCAGTAACTCTTACTCTCCCTGGAATGCAGGAGAGAGAATTACAGACCACCTTAAGAAATCTGTGTGCCCTGTATGGACAGGGGGTAGAAGCACATCCTCACAGCCAACATTCCAGAGGGTTCACATATCATCTGTCACTTCTTAGATAAATAAATTGCAGTCTTGAAGGATGATCTATGGGTTACGTCACTCAAACCAATGGAATATTGGCCATTTTCAAACAGTATAAAAATATATCAAGTATCTATCATCCTCATTCTGTGGACTCATTCATCCTGTTCCTCTAGCACATTTCTGATGCGAAATGATGGCTTCTGGCAGAACTTCTGAGGCAACATGGATTCACATGTGAATCCACACTACCCAAGTCAGGCATAGATTCAATAGGTCTGTAGAACCTAAAAAGCTCCCTCTCAGGTTAATCCTTTTATACTAAATCTGTGCTCTTCACCTCTTCAACTTATCCTCTTTCTACTCTCCATCACAAACCCCTCCCAAACCATTCCTAGACCTTCCACCCAGGAGGAGTTATAGAGCATAGTTTGCTCATCTCTAATTACTCTTTGCTTCATCTTCATGTAACTACTTCATTATCATCGAGAGAGGGAATTCACATTCTTCTGAAGTTTGTCAGGATTCCTTTTGTATTTAGTATTTCTACATCAGTACACTCTCTTCTGAAAACAATAAAATGATTCCTACTAACTTCGAATCACTCCCTTCTTCCAATGTAATAGTCATCTTTCTAATCAATATAACATTCTATTTCTTGCTACATGTTAATCACACAATGTATTCTGGGCACTAAGATAAGGCACTGAGGACAACAGACTATTATGATTTCAGGTCTCAAGTTCACCAGGAGCTCAGGAGAAGGATGATATTTTAAACATGTCACAATTCTGTATGACAGATGCAGTGAAGGCAGCAACTCTGAACACAGAAAAGGAACACCGAGGTGCCCCCTCCAGAGAAGATGATGCAAGTACTAAATCTTAGAAGGCAGGATCGTTTACAAAAGGATTAGGGGGAAAGTCAGAGGAAGGAATGGGAAAGGTGTTCTAGGTAAAAGCAATGTGAAAGGGCACTGAAATGAGAGAGAGCATGGCTAATTCAGGGAACTGTAAATCATTCATATGGCAGAACATAGTGGATGTGTGATGGCCAGGGACAGTGGGAGATGCTGTTCAAGTTGATGTTAGAATGGAAAGTAGGAACCAGTTTATGAAGGGTCTTTCTAGGGAGTGTGAACTTTATCCTGAATGCCCAAAGGAATCATTGAAAGCTATTAAACAAGTGAATGATAAGATCAAATTTGAAATTTGAAAAGAGCATTGTAATAGGATATGGAGAATTAGAGGCAGAGAGACCCAGAAGGCTGTTTTAAGAATTCAAGCAAGAAATTATGAGGGTTTAAACTCAGGCAGTAACAGAAGAAATGGACATATAAAGAGATAAAAAAAAAGTAGGTGTTGATGACTAATTAGATGTGAACCCTGAATTAGGAAGAATCAAAAATGACTCCCGAGATTCTGGCCTTGGCAGCTTGGTGGATGACACCATTCTCTGAGATAAGAAACAGAAAAGGAGTAGTTTGGAGGGCTAGAGGAAGGAATAATGAGTTCACTTTTGCACATGTTGACCTGGGTTGAGAGATTAAAGCTAAACATGATTTAAGAGTCTTCAATATGGAGTTGAAGCCAGGGGAGAAGTTAGGGGTACCCAAGGACATAAAGGGAAAGTGAGAAGGGAAGGTTGAGGAGGGCACTCATTATGAAGGGGTAGGTATACGAAAGCCAAAGAAGGAGACTAAAAATAATCAGGAGAGACATGGGCATGCCCAGGAAAGCCAAGAGTAGGGATTTATGGAAGGATGTTGTGGTCAGCCTTGTCACATGCTGCGAAGAGACTATCTGTAATTGGGACTGAAAAGCATTCACTAAATTTAAAACTGTGAGGTTTCTAGTGACTTGGTAAGCAGTTTAAATAGAGTGAAGGGGTCAAATGCAAATGGAGCCACAAGTGGGAAGAGAGGAAGATGACAGAGCATCTGTGCACCACTTGTTCAAGGAGCATTTGGGAAAGTGAATATTTATTTCCTATGTCATTTTCTAAACAAAATAGATATTTTATTTACCTTAGATTATTTCCTTAATAAATACAGAAGAAACTGTATATAATCAAACTTTTTCTTACTGAACAAGGGTCATCATTGTGAATTTTCCTGCTTGAATGGATTTTAATAATAATTCTGAATAACAATAAATTGCCAAGATTTTATGGTAGATGTTTCTAGGGCTCTCCTAACAACTGTCAGCAATCAGTTCTTAGCAGCTATCAATCAATTACTTCTAGGAACCCTGATGTACTATTTCTAAACTGCTGTTCATTTTAGCCTAGAGCAAAACTCAAATGTTGCCAGAAGTATATGAGTTGTTTTTAGAATAACCCCTTAATATTGATGTTTAAAAATACATTAATATGTTCTAGTCATGAGGATAATTCTTCTTTTTGGAGTAAAATGGTATAATATGATTAACTTCTACCTCTCTAAGTTTATTTTGTGCCAACTTCAGCCCATTCATACTCCACTCTTCAGTGCCTTCAACTCATTCATTCTCTTCCTTGTTCATCCATATATTCATTAATTCAAAATTATTGATCCTCATTTTTTTCAAAAACCATGTGAAGCAATAGTGATAGGGAAATGAATGAAACACAGTTCCAGCCCTCAGTAAGCTACTGTCTTGCAAAGAAGCTCTAATAAACAGACAATCACTGCCCAGCATGGAAAGTGTAGAGAATTATAGTAGAGTGAATAATATTGAGATACACACACCATGCATCTCATGTGCTTTTCTAAAAAGCACCATGCTCTTTCTCACCCATTATTTATACCCAAATAATGTGTACAATGTCTTCTGCCTGGAATTCTCCCCAAACCCTTATTGTTCTAGCGAACTCTAATGTATTCACTTTTTTGTGTTTCAAGTCGATCTCTTTCCCTCTGTTAAACTTCCCTGATATTACTCCTCTATACCTAGTAAGTAACATATGCATGTTTCAAACCCAGATTTGTTTTGTCCCTTTCCATAATGATAAATAAAGAGGAGCTTTTTGTCACTGTTTTAAAATCTAGGTTTTATTTATCATTCAGGTATGATCAGAACAACACATCAGAGATGATTGCCATTAAACAGATAGTTTGTTACTCACAGTTCCCAAGAGGAGGGGGCACAGGATGCCTCACAGGCCACGTGGGGAAACACCAGGGTTGGTCAGGAGGCACAGGGGATGAGGAGGAATTGTGGGCAAAAGCCTTCATTATGGAATGGGTAAAGCAGGGTAAACAGGTTTAGGATTAGGTCGTTTGAATAATTTCAGTGGGCTCTGGGGCATAGGGACTGTCCCTAGTTGTCTGGTAGTTACTTGGCCTGGGGTGATTAGAGCAAACAGTGGCCCAAGTATGAAAGCCCCAGTAAAGGAAGTAATTGGTTTGCATATGAAAGAAAGGTATCCTTGGAAGGAAGTCCTTCACTATCTCTAGGACTTGGCTATCCCTGAGAGAGGCAATCACCCCAGAGTCAACAAGGGCCCTCAATGTCTGAGCATAAGAATAAAAAGACATGCTTAATATAGTCTCTATACTGAACTTCCACTCAAAATAATAATAAAATAGCTACCATTTAGTACAAACACTAAACCAGATATTTGTTTCCTTCTTTCTTTGACCTCCTTCCTTCTGTCCGTCCTTCTGTCCTTCCTTCCTCTCTCTCTCTTTTTCCTTCCCCCATCTGGCCTTTCCTTTCCTCTCTTCTTTCTTCTCTCTCCCTTCTTCCCCTCCCCTCCCTTCATTCTTTTCTTCATTTTAACAAATATTCATCAAATGTCTATCAAAAGCTATTATTCTAACGAGTTTATTTTCTCATGTAATCTTCACAGAATCCTGGGAAGTGAAAAATACTAGTCTTATTTAGTAGATTAAGTAATTGGGCACAGAAAGGTTAAATAATGTCTGAAGGTCAACCATCATGGACAGCAGATCTGGTGTTCAAAATAAGTTATGTTTCATTCCAAAGTCTGTGTTTAAGTATTATGCTGAACATACAGCACATTCTATCATACCCATAAAAGTATGACACAGTTGAATCTAAGTATCACCCACCCACCAACCTGAGAACTGAATTTGTTTATCAGCTAGACTCAGAAAATATTAAGTACTTGGGAAATAACAATGAATTTAATTCATTCATACCACAGATATTTATTGAGCATCTGATTTCTAGATTTAATCCCATCATTTATTAACTATGTGACACTGAGGAAGTCACTTAATCTACTTCTTTGTTTCCTCATACATAAAATGCACAATATTAATCATGCTAAAATAACAAACTTGTTTTGTAAATCAAAGTAGATGTAAAAAATATTTTGCAATCTACCCAAAAAATAAGAATATATAATTTCTAGGCCTTGACCACCCATTTGATGGCTGACAAACTGGTAGATCAGCATTTCAAAGTTCAGTGGATTCTGAAAAATAAACTATGTATCTGTGTCAACTGAATAAAAATTTGATCTTTATGATAGCATTAAGTTGGACGTTCTTGTCCTGAATGATATCCTAATGGTACATTGTGCTCCTTTGTCAAAATTATATAGTTTCAAATTATGGGAGGGAAATTCAAATCATTATAATGAAACTTCAACTCCTCTCTTATTTGCAGGTCAGGGCTATATGTGGGAAGCATGGATTATATCTGACTTTGAGCCTCCTGGAAACATTGCTTAACCATCAAGATTTGGGTTATCAAAGTGAAATAAAGTAAGCTGACTTTTTATTCACATAGTCCTCTATTAGAATACCAAACAGAAATCTGTCTTTAGACTAGAAATTCTACATGTGAAGCAATCAATTCTATCAGTTGGAGATAAAGAAATGTTTGTTTATATTAAGATCAAAGGGTCTTCTTGGCCATAGAAAAACAAAGCAGGAAATTTCACCTTCAGCCATTATAGACTATCCACAATAGATTTACCATTCTATCTTAAACAACTAAAAAACTGGACAAAATATATGAAACAATGGTTTTTAGACATTTGATACCAGGTAGCACAGCGTACTGATTCCTGAAAGGAGAAAAATAAATGAAGTAAGTTCAGCTTGCTGAACAAGAAGGAGAAGTCCAAAAAGAACCCAGAATTCTCCTTGAGTTAAAGAGACTGAGTTTGGAGTTCAAGAAAGCCAAGAGGACTAGAATATACCATACAGAGTAGCAGAGAAGAGAGGCCATAAAATTATCCCTGGAGATTTCTAAAGAGTTGTCCTCTAGTCTTCATATGAATAGGCTAATATAGCCATTTGAGAAAATTACCCAAGGTAAGAGAAAGAAACACCAACATAAAGAGATGGAAAATCTTTTAGATCTTGCACAGAGTTGGGAATAGTCATATTCCCACCTATCAGAGGTGAATATATGTGGCATGGGGTATAGTCTTCAGTAGTCTATGTGTAGCAGGCCATATTATTCTAGACAAATTTTAAAAATCTTAAAAGCCCTACTATAGCTTTAAAATCATCAAACTATTTCCAAATTACTTAATTACATTTATGAACAAAGCCCTAAAATTTCTAAAGAAATAAAAATATATCAGAAAATCGAAAATTTTAAATCACAATTTCTGGCATTCGTACAAAAATTACTAGACATGAAAAAAAGGAACATATAATCCATTATTAGGAGGAAAAACAATCAATAGAAGAAGATTCATAAACAACATAGATGATAGAAATAGTGGACAAGGACATGAAAAGAACAATTACAAAGTACACTTAACATGTTCAAGAAGGTATAGGGAAATCATAAGTAAAATGAGAGGTCTGGAAATTTTTCTTAAAAAGCCCAAATAAAGCTTCTAGAAATGAATAGTACAATTGTCTTCTCCATAAAAACCAATAACCTCAGTGTAATAATGAAGAAAAGTTTAGAGAAATCACAATAGACAGACATTCTACAAAATAGCTGACAAGCATTCCTCAGAACTGAAAATCATTGAAAATAAGGAAAATATGAGAAATTTTTATAGCCAGAAAGAATACAAGGAGACATAAAAACTAACTGGATGGAATTCAGAACAGAAAAAGAATATTAGGTAAAAACTAAAATGCTGGAATAAAGCACAGACTTTAGTTGACAATAATGCATTAATATTGGTTCATTACTTATACAAAACTACCATACTAATGCAAGATGTTGACAAAAAGTAAAACTGAGTATGGGGTATATGAAATTTCACTATATATATATAAATGTTTAAAATTTTTCTGTGGATTTAAAACTATTCTAAAATTCATTTATTTTTTAAATAAAACATCTAAAAGAAAAATACTCTCATGAGAGTAACAGTCTATTTAACATTGAAGAATAGAAAAATAAGTGAACTTGAAGACAGAAACAAACACTAAAATAAAACTCAGTGTGGAAAAAAATAAAGAAAAAATTAACAGAGCATCACTGAGCATTGTGGACAGCATCAGCAGCCTAATGCATGGAAAATTGTAGTTCTATAAGGGGAAAAGAGAAATGGGTGGGGAGAGGGGGAGGGAATGCTGAAAAAACAACAGCTATTGTTTTTCCAAACTTGGAGAGAATATAAAGACAAGGACTCAAAAAACTCAATGAATCTCAAATATAAGAAATTTGAAGTAGACCATACCAAGATTCATTATATTCAAATTGCTTAACTAGTGGTAAAGAAAAAAACCTTAAAAGAATAAGAGAAAAAGAAATTTCATACAGAATAATAAAGAATTACAACAGACTTCTCATTAGAAACAGTGTAAGTCATAAGACAGTGAAATCCCACCTTTAAAATACCAGAAGAAGGAAACTGATGGAGTGACCCCTTCATATCAGGCAAATAAGAGGGAAACCACATTGGGGATGATATATTTTCATTTTCCCCTAAGCCTCACTTCAACCAGTGGACACCATCTTCACACTCTCCCTCTGCTGCACTCCAGAGTACCAGTGTCTCCTAGAAAGGAACGTCTACACACATATGGTGTTCCCTTTTTACACATGATGACCCAGTTTTTGCCGCCACCCAGGGGTCACCCTTGATCACCTGGTTTTGGAGGCCAGAGGTGCTTTCATGCCTAGATCCCATAGGACTGTAACAATTAGAGATTCAGTTCTTAGCAGATTAACACTCCCAGGGCACTGCACAGTATCAGACTGAAACATATCCCCAGTTGTTCTTAGAAAGAGGCCTCTTTGCTTGTCTAGGAGCTTTGGCCTGAGGGGCAGGCTTCTGGTGTAGCACAATAATAGGACCTAATGATGTGCTTTCAGGGAATGGAGGCCAGTGGACACAGTCTTTGTACTCTTTCTCTGCCATGCTCCAGTTCATCAGCATCTTCCAAAAGGAGTTTATACCCTTCTCTGGTGCCCTGATTTTTGATGCTGCTGTCAGGAGATACCTCTACATTGCCTGGGGCTGGGAGGCAAGAGGGGCATATGCTCACAGGTCTCATAGGACTGTAACCAACAGACATAGAATTCTTAAGCAGCCAGCACCCACAGGTCACAGCAAAAGGCAACAGAACCAGGAGCTTGATTTTCTTTCAAAGAGGTATATTAGCTTATCATCATAGCTGTAGTCGAAGGAACAGGCTTCTAATTAAGCCAACATCTAAGTGCTAACTATAAACCTTTCCTGAGATGTAGGAAGGTAGGCACTATCTTTTTATTCTGTCTCTGCCATGCTCCAGAGCACCAACATCTCTTGGAGGGGATCTCTTATATGTGTCTGATGCTACAGTTTTTACATCTGGTACCCTGGTTTTTACAGCTGCCACCCAGGAGATACCCCTTTATTGCCTGGCTCTGGTGGCCACTGAGGGTGGCGGGCAGTTTGTTCCACTGATGGGCACTTAGATTACTTTCATGTCTTGGCTATTATAAACAATGCTGCAATAAATATGGGTATGCAGATTTTTGCTTGTTTGTTTGTTAAGATAGATCCAAGTATTTAAATATCCTAATACCATATGCACATAGAAATTGAGGATCTTGAGGGTAATTCACCATTCTATTTACAGATTAATAAGAAAAATATGATCATCTAAATAGATTCAGGAAAATCATCTCACAATATCCAACTTGGTAAGGTTCTTATTCTTTAAATGAAGTAGTATAATTTGAAGGAAGAATATAATGAGTTAAAATGCTAATGAAGAAGATAAAATGGAAGTATAAGCACATTTAAATAATTTTAAAGAGATAAAATAAGAGGGAGTGAAAATGAGAAACAAATAAGATAAATAGAAAATAAACATCAAGACAAGTAGATTTAGACCCAACCATTGTCAATAATTACATTAAGTATTAATGATCCAAATGCACAGAAAGACTGAACTGAATGCTATCTACAATGAAGTCATTTAAAATGTAAAGTTGTAGACACACTAAAAGTCAAAGAAGAGCAAATGACATACTGTACTAACTCTAATAAAACGAAAGCTGTAGTGGTTACATTAATGTCAGACAAAGTAGATTTCAAAGGAAGGAATAATGCCAAAAAGTTGATTCATCAAGAGGACATAACAAACCTAAATGTTCATGCCCTTAATAACATAGCTTCAAGTTACATGTAGCAAAGACATATAACTTAAAAGAAAAATGGATAAGTTCACAATTATAGTTGGAGAACTCAACACTTGTCTGTCAGTAATTGGTAGAGCAAGTAGAAAATCAGTATGAATACAGAAGATGTGGACTACATCATAAACTAACTTGATATAAGTGGCAATTACAAAACAATCCATACAACAGCAGAATACAGATTCTTTTTAAGTGTACATGAAATATGTAAAAGATAAATCATATTCTGAGTCATAACATAAGCCTCAGTAAACTTAAAAGGATGAAATATAAAATATGTTCTCTGACCACAATAGAATTAAATTAGAAATTAAAAAACAAACAAGCAAAAATCCTGGAAATCTTCAGATATTATGAAACAAAACAACAGACTTCTAAATAACCTATGGTCACAGAAGAAACCACATGGGAAATTAAAAAATATTTTGAACTAAATTAAAATGAACACACAACAAGCTGCTCACCTCTGGAGCACAGCCACACTCCCTCCTCAAGTGTGTACTTCGCTCTTGTAAACTACTCTTTGCTTGTACCTACTCAACCTGCTGCTCGTGGATTCTTTTCTTGATCAGTCAGAACCCTTCCACAAGTTGAGGTTTCACCTAGCATGCAGGGAGATCTCCCCAGACTGCATTGTCTGACAACATTTTGGCAACCATGAAGGGACACTTAACACCGTATTCACTAATGGTCTAGGTTTAACTTTCTTATTTTCAAAAATGTGGATTCAGAAAAGCACCCAGGAAGGTTGAATATCAAAGATCAGACACAGGAATAAAGAGAGAAGCATATAAGAGAAGTGCTTTGATTCCTCCTGTAAAAGAAACAATCTTTTATCCTTCTCCCTCTCCCATAAGGACTCTTGTAAAACCTTTGTTTTTTAGTGTTGGGGCTATGCATTTGGGTCAGCTGCTATTTGGCAATATGAATCACTGGAATCCAGGAGCCAGAGTTATTTTGATGATATAAAAATGGGTTGGTTGGATAGCATAAGACCACAAAAGGAAGACTTCAGAAAGGAGATTAACAAGTGGTGGAATTACCTAAGGCTAGCAGACTATGACAGATTTTTTGTTAGTTTACATGTTTTAGTCATTCAAGGGAAGAGAAATCCAACCAAAAAGTATCATAGCTGCAAATGTTTTTGTATTGTTTGTGG